TTATTGACCCTGGGCTTAACCTGCATTTCTTTTCACTTAGGTGGAGGAGAGATTTAGAAAAACTAATCAGGGCTCCCCTGAAGCACAGTCTAAGCAGATGGGCAAAGTGTTGGAGCCACCAGTGCCTTCAAGATCAGAGTCCTTTTCCAATGGGAACTCAGAACCTGCTCAGCCAGCCCTGCAGAGGCCAATGGAACCCCAGGTAAATGTCAAGGAAAATCGTGGTGAGCTGCAGGAGATGCAGGAGCCCCAGCGTGTCACCTATGGCTGCACGTTGGCACAACTGGGAATGCAGAAAGCCTCATGCAGAGAGTAGCACTGTTATGCCAAGCAGCTTATTCTGTAGATTTGCCCTCTTTTTTTGCTTATTTTATTAGTGAGCTGATGGTCTTCCTTTTTCTTTTTAACTAGAGCTAAGTTAAACTGCTGCATTCTATGATTATCTGTAGGCTAAATACTGGGCACCATTGCAGTACAGTTTTACAATTCAAAATTTGATCTATGCAAAGTATTTACTACTAAAGAGGATGTTCAGAAAAAAAAAACAAACAAGAAGTCAATTAGCTTTTTAAAATGACTAGGGAAAAAGTTAACTAAATAAGTGGCTTTGGGTATGATGTGGTGTGAGTGCTGCTTCTGAGGGCTCCACAGAACATGGCAAGAAAAGCAAGGTGGCCGTCCATAGTCTCACTTTTGCTAAATAGAGCTCTCCATCAGCTCTGAAAGCCAAAAGAGGTTGAAACCACTGAACTAGGTGGTGGTTGTCATTGTGTTATTTCCTAGTAAAAACTTTCATTTTATTATCAAGTGACAGCTGGTTTCTCATAGGAATAAGTGCCTGAACTTAAAAAGCCACTTTGCCTAAGATTTAAAAATAGCCCATCAGTTCTGAGCTATGCAGTTCCTCTGTGCCCATGAGGAATTCTTCCCTCCCAAATATGTCTGTAAATGCCAGTGTTCCCAATTGCCTTGTTGTGAATGGATATCTCAACTCTTCTGGGCAAGAGGAAAACCTGCACAGCCGAGAGAGTGGGAGAAATCAGGACAGAGCTTCCTCTCCTATTCACTAAGCCCTGGCTTTAATTCAAACCTTGGTGATTATTTCCAAATATTAGACTTGTATCTTCATGCTCTCTGTGCCAGCTACTTTTAAAAAGTCTTGAGTCTTATACTCACATGGAGAATAATCAGGCTCTTCACGCAGCTGCGTGGACAAAAAAGGAGGAAATAGTGATCGTATAGAAATAAATACAGCCATCCTAATGCAGATGGAATTGAATTAATTATTAGGTGTGAAAAGAATATCTTCCTCAGTTGTGACCTTCCTTCTCCTCAGCTTTAGGAATTAGTTTGGAAATGTGGGTTTATGCATGAGGAAGGAGTAGGTTGAAAGATCAGTATGGATTTCAGTGGAAATCCCAATGTTTTTTTTTTAATTCTGGAGTCACTGTTGTGCCTTTTTAGTGTGTGTAATGAATATGTGTGTGTGTATGTTTGTGTGTGTGTAGTTTGTGTATAAATATGTTTATATGTGCAGTATATGGTGCATATATGGGATATGTATAATATGCATTATACATATGTATACTATATACAATATATATTATGGTTTTTATATATATATATATATTGCAATGACTGTAATGGAATAAAGGCTTTCGTGTTACGATCTTCCTCCCAAGGTCTGGAACTGTACCCAGTTCCCTAATTCCTTAGGCAACATCCGTGCCTGTCGGCTTGCCCATTTGGCAGCCCTGCCGCCCTTAATTTCCACTCCCTCCAATTGGCTCCGGCCTCCAAATTCCCCAAGCCCTCGGCACTGCCGTGGGACCCGGCCGAAGCCCGGGAAGCTGCCGGGACCTCTGGCTTCAGCGGCCTCGGGATCCGGCCTCCCGGGGCGAGGCCGAGGCCGCCTGCGCGCGGGCCCCGCGTGTGTGTCTGTGGCTCGCGGGGTGCACGTGTGCTCTGTGGGAGCCCTCCCGCTGCTCGGGCGCTTGCCTCGCTTCCCCGTGCGTCGATTCCGCCCCCCGCTTCCCTAATGCCGTAACCGATTTGCCTCTGCCCGCCCCAGCTGCCTTTATTCTGTGTTGGTGCAAAGCCCGTGATACTGAGCGCATTGAATGTTTTGTGTTTTGTTTTCTTGTAAGGTACAGTGGTCCCATCTGGCATCTCTCAAGAACAATGTTTCCCCTGTCTCGCGATCCCATTCCTTCAGTGACCCTTCTCCCAAATTTGCTCATCACCATCTTCGTTCCCAGGACCCATATCCACCTTCACGCAGTGAAGTGCTAAGTCAGAGTTCTGACTCTAAGTCGGAGGTACCCGACCCCACCCAAAAGCCTTGGGCTAGATCAGACAGTGACGAGGTGCCTCCAAGGGTAAGGAGGAGAAGGACAGATGTGTGCTGTTCTTTGCTTTGACTGTGTTCATGTAAGGATGTCGTAGCCTGGGCACCGGGTGGACCGTGCCCTTGGGACAGGGCCCCTCCTGGGATCTCGGAAGGGCAGTCGTGCTGGAGCTRTTCACTCAATGGGTTAATGGCAATCATAGGCCTTACGTGCAATACTGACAGTTCACCTAACCTGGGCGATTATTTGTAGGCCCTAGCTCTTGTAGAGAGAGGCAATTTATTAGGCAAAGTTAACGAATCATTACCACGCTCAGGGCAGAATTTAAAAGATCCCTGAGGTTATTGCTCCGAGGTAATTTTCTTCTTCATCAGTGAGCAGCCCAAACTATGAATCATGCTCGAATCTGAAATTGAGAGGGAATTGGAACAAAAAAGAAACATTCAATATATTTCCTCCTCCTCTCCCTCCCCCATCCACTGGGATTTGCTTCTTCTAAGTATATTCTCACTCTCCCACCAGTCTTTGCCTTCTGCTGATCCATTCCCAGGCATTTGTTTGATTCCCCCGAGCTTATTCTCCTAATTCTCATGCTGTTTCAGCAAATTGCTTTGTGCCTCCCCTGCTTCAGTCAAAATGCCATATTCTTTTTAACTGCCTCACTAGTTGGAGAGTAGGGGGTGTGTATGTGTTTTGTGTGGTAGCTACTAAGTGCCGCTTAGCATTAAGACTAAACTTGGAGTTCTCTTCAAAATCTGACCAGAATCCCAACTAAGGCCCTCTGGCTTTGTGGGTGTATTCTCGTCCATTCTGATTTTTGATGCTAACTTGGAATTAAAGTAAGCACTGTTAAAATCTTAAGAGTATGTTCTGTGGCGGGAAAGGTTGAATTTTCCTCTTCTCTTTCTCCTTGTCCTGGCTTTAACGTAACATTTTCTCTCCCAAGGTACCCGTGAGAACAACRTCCCGATCACCTGTCCTGTCCCGTCGTGATTCTCCCCTGCAGGGCAGCGGGCAGCAAAACAACCAAGCAGGTCAAAGAAACTCCACGAGGTTTGTAAGCCTGTGTGTCCCTGGGAGGAGAAGGCTGGTGGGAAGCCAGGCTTTCCTCGGAGGACTTTTGCCRTTGTCTATTTATGGGGCATGAAATGAAGAAGAATCTGGATTCCTTTTTGGTTGGGATTAATATTAATTTTCCTTGTTGTATCGTGGCTGCTAGCCAAAGCTGGCAAAATTTCTTCTCGCCTCCCCTTTGAATTGTCTACCCTGTAATTTTTGCAAAATTTCCAAATATCCTGAATATTACTGGAAAAAAAAAGTAGTCATTCATGAACATGATGCCTTTTGGTGTATCAGGTTACCTTGGGTTGTTGTGGGAGTTGCTCTCAGCAGATGTGTTTGTAAGACCTCAAGCAGAGAGATTTCAGAAAATTTCCAGCCTCTTAGCCAGAACTAGGCTTCAGGAGAGGCAGAAACATCCCTGAATTGTGACAGAAAACATTTGGGGGAGAAATGGGAAAAACACTGGGGAGGGGAGAAGGGGCCATCCCCAAAGCAGCAGAGCAAAGCGGACATGGGACTGGTCTCTGGAAGGTGGCTGGGGAGATCCTGAGAGGTSAAAGATAGTGCTGGCTTTATGGTTTGGCTTATGTGATCTAATTTTAAATGTGCTGCATGCAGGCTGAGGGAATTGGCTGCTTTATCTTGGATATGCAACACAGTCCCAAATAGGAAACAGCAGCTCATCCCAACTGCACTTCCTTTGCCATCCTAAATAAGGCAGTAGCTATTTCAAAGGGAGCCACTGCCCGGGTTGCAGGGAGTCACTGATGCTCGCAGTCCAGTGTTTCAAGTGTTCTTTCAGATCAGTTATGAGCAAAACACTGAGGAGAAAGGATGTTTGAGTCTAGAAACAGGAGGCTGACACTGCCGTGAATGACAGAGACTTCCTTCCCTCCTCTGCACCAGCAATATAGAGCCTCGCCTGCTGTGGGAAAGGGTGGAGAAGCTGGTGCCGCGGCCGGGCAGCGGCAGTTCTTCCGGCTCGAGCAACTCCGGCTCCCAGCCCGGCTCCCATCCCGGCTCTCAGAGTGGATCCGGCGAGCGCTTCCGGATGAGATGTAAGGCCGTGTGTCAGCCCTCCTAACACTTCTGGAGCTGGACGAGTCTGCAGCCCTCAGAAAGGAAGGGCGAGAGCCCTCACTCGGACAGACATCTGGGCGGGCAGTACCCCACACAGATTAGCTTCAGCGTTGGGAAGTGCCCCTTCTGGCTCATGCTCTTGCTCTGGAAAGGCATGAGATGGGAAGTGGCCATGAAAATATATGAGTGCTCTCTGATTCAGATTCAGTTACTGCTGCTTTTTGCCATGTGCAGACAGCCTGGTCTCCACACTTTTGTAGCCTCCTTCCTCACTTGTCCAAGGGCACCTTTTGATCTGTGCKGTGCATCACCCTGATGGTTGCTTGCAAACTGCTAGGGACACATCTCAGCTGCAGTTCTCTGGMGGCTGAAAGTAGGTCTTCCAGCTTGTGACTTCAGTCGAGTTAAACAGTTTTTGATTCACCTGCTGGCCCAGTCCCTTGTGCAAATGAGCACAGCACCTATAACCACTTTGGCTTGGTACTTGCATGGCAGTTTATTTAGACGTTGGTCATAGTCTGCTGTACCTACACCACTCACAGCTTAYGCTGGTACCTCTTGCATAGTCTTTGAGGGAAAATGTAACAGCAAACCAGTGAAACAGATGTCTTGCTATCAGACACTTAAACCTTCTCCCCTGTGTTCCTCCCTCTAAAGTGAAATAAGAAAACGTATTTTAGCTTCCCAGTGAATCCCTGTTCTGTTCTGTGTTCCTTTTGGGCTCTTGGTGCACACAGCATCATCAAAATCAGAGGGTTCTCCGTCGCAGCGTCAGGAGAACACGGCCAAAAAGCCTGAAGAGAAAAAGGAAGTCTTCAGACCCATCAAGCCTGCTGTAAGTTACATCTGCCCTCCCCGACTCTGCTCGCTGTTACGTAGGCCCCTATGAGCGTAAATGTGGACATCAYCATGTCTCTGAGAGTTGCTTTGAGTTCATAACCGTGGGCCCAGCAGTGTATGCTGTGCTGTGTACGTTTGCTTGTGCATATGACAAAGCTTCAAGTACGAGAGTTTATTCTGCCTTTGGAATTGGTTCCTGTTCTGTCGTCTTCTTCCTTTCTAACCTTTCTCTTTTTCAATCCTGTGCTTCCTTTCTGTGGCGGGACCAATGATAACGCATCTGACCTGAATGTTTCAATGCTGTGCTGAATGGTGCAGGGAGAAGTGGTAAGACCTTAAATTGTTGCTATTTTCTCTTTTTTGTTTTGTTTTGTTTTTGTTTTCCTTTTAATCTGGCTGCTAAGATGCTTATAATTCTATGGCCTGTTGTATCCAGGGGATCACAGTAGGATTCACTGTAGGGGAACTTTCTTTAAAACTTTTTTCTCTTGCTGTCACTGCACTAGCACAGAAATCTGTCAGTTAAAACCGCTTTCTTAAACACAGAGGTTGTTCCTTTACTTCTGAGTAGTGTAATTGGTGAACTGATATATAAACTGATTTTAGCTTAATACTGCATAGCTACGTGATTGAGAGTAGGTCACTGCAAAAAGGCTTTGGCCACACTTGAGGTGACAGGGAGAAAGTCATCATATGTCCCAAACTGTGACAGTTTGTGTATGAGTGAGACAGTGCTGGTGAATTTGACCTTTCCTATGAACTTCTGAGCTGGCGGAATGTGCTGTGCCTTGGGCTACTCAGTAAGCCCTAGGATCTTTTTGCCGTCTCAGTGCCCAGAGCTTCTTGTGGTAGATGCTATTAGCCTGCAGGGTAAGAAAAATGTGACAATCGCTGTGTGAGAGTGGGTCCAGGTGCTTATGTAAGTCTTTCGAATGGTGTAATGGGATAAAACAAGGCCATAGTCAAGATGGTTTGGATTCAGAATATGCACATTTTTCTTCAATATGGCAAGGACTCCTCAGGTTGACTCCTTAGGTCTTTTAGTTTTGACCTGCAAAAGAGTATCGGTAGCCATCAGAAATGAATAAGCCAAGAGAACACACTGCATGTTTGGGATGAATAAGCCAAGAGAACACACTGCATGTTTGGGTTACATCTGCCAGTTCCATGCTGCATGTGTGGGAACAGCAGCGGGTTGCCAACACAGTCGGGCACCAAGTGGAAGGCAGTGGGGCTGCCTGGCAAGCTGGCTGCCTCTCCTGCCTGCATCGTCACTTCTCTTTCCCCTCTGCCTCAGGATTTAACTGCCTTGGCGAAGGAATTGCGAGCGGTAGAAGATGTGAGACCGCCACATAAGGTGACGGATTATTCATCCTCCAGTGAAGAGTCAGGGACAACGGATGAGGAAGACGATGATATGGAACAAGAAGGAGCAGATGAATCTACTTCTGGACCTGATGATGTCCGAGCAGTGTTAGTTCTTCTGTATTTTGCTTTTGTGTTCCCACTTGGGGGGTGTGAAGGAAAAGAAAGTTAGCACTTAAGGGCACTTAAGAACTCTGAGTACTTAAGAAAGTTAGAGCTAAACAGCATTATTTATAGTGACATTTTCAAACASTGAGGCAGTGATTTCAAGTCAAACTGAGCATCTGGGATGCAAGTGAGGAACTAAGTTCTAGGTAGCTCTGGGTAACCCTGCTTGTGCAGGGGAGTTGGACTAGATGATCTGCAAAAGTCCCTCCGGACCTTAGTCATTCTGTGATTTCTGCAAGTGGGAAATGAGTCTCTCAGCTTCTCAAGAAAGTTTTATGGGTATGTATTAAAGCAGGCCGAGTGATACTTCTAGAAATAGGGTCCTTTCCAGTTTCTCCCTTTGATTTGCAATAAACAAGGAGGTATGTTCAACAAATTCTTGACTTAGTTTGTGACAGAGAACCTTTTTGGGACAGTTATATAAATGCTCCCTTTTGGCCACAGCAGAAATGAACTTTGACTGTACCTACGTGTGCAGCCATGAAAGCTACAACACAAAAGCTATTATCTCACCCCAGTTCTTTCTTGCCTGGCCAATAGGTCGACGCTGAACTTGAGCAACGGTGAAACGGAGTCAGTGAAGACCATGATTGTCCACGATGATGTGGAGAGTGAGCCAGCCTTGACTCCTTCAAAGGAGGGCACCTTAATTGTCCGACAGGTATCGCTTCTCCCTCCCGCGCAGCGCTGCACCTTTCCTGTGCTCATTAACCCACTCGCTCATTCACCCATGCTGTTGCTACATTATATTTGTTGTTCGTATTATGGAGACACAGCTGTAGTGAATTTCAGATGAGCAAGGTGTTTGATGCATGCAAAGGAAAACGTAGGCTTCACCCCTTGCTGCTGTTTCGCATGCTTTCCAGTGACCCCCTCCCTCCTAGTAGCTGCGTGCAGAGTAMCTCAAAGGCTGTAGGGGAGGATGGTGGAAAAGCTGCAGGTGTGTGAAGTACCTGGAGCAAGAAGCTTAGTTCAGCTTTACCATAGGACAAAACATGTGTCTCAGGAGGGGGTTTGGGAAGGATGCTGTGAGGAAGCATTCAGGGATTGGGGTTGTTTTTTTGTTTTATTCTGTTTTTTTTTTTYCATTACTTTGAACCTGTAGTTGAGGGCATACTGAGCACCCAGGTAACACACGCCAAAAAACACACACAGACACAGACACACACRGAGACACACCTACAAATTTGCCCAACAAACAACTAGTACAGGGGGAATGGAAGGGGAATGGAGAGGCAAAACGGGTGGCGAGGCAGAGAACGTGGACAGGGCTGGAGTGCTGTGCTGTTCCTTTTGATGCTGCAAAGCTGCATTCTCGTGCCTGTGAGAGACAATGCTTGCCTGCTTTCCAATGAACCCATCTGTTAATGAGCGCGGTAGCTTAGAGGAGCTGCCCCAGCACTCGCATTCCTGAATTGCCCCGCCAAATACCAGTTTCCTAWTTGAGCCTGCGGGTTGGAAAGTGAAGATTTCATGCTTGTTGTTTTAGGCAGTAGCCGAGCGCGTTCACCAGACAGTCCAAGCGCGTAGCAGACAGCTTCAACCAAAGCAGTAGGGGTAGAAGCCCTGAGCCCCCGTCCAGAGCCCTTGTCCGGGCTGGGTCAGGCCCCTCGCTGGCTCAGTAACTTCTCTCTTAATGGCTCAGGCTCCGTGGAGCTGACCACATCCCGTGGACTTTTGCCTGCCCGAGGTGGTGGGGATGTGCTGAACCCTGACAGCTCTGCCCACCTGCAACCCAAGCACCAAGGCGAGGCTTACCCGCTTACGTGAAACCAAAGCAACAAGCGAAAACGTAGACGAGGGAGACAGAGCGAGGGAGAGAAGCAGAGAGCTCGCTAGGGATGTAGGCCTGTAAGCAGCACTTGAGCAAGACAAGTGTGCCTGTTTTTTCTGCAGAGTACAGTTGACAAAAAGCGCGCCAGCCATCATGAGAGCAATGGCTTTGCCGGTCGCATTCACCTCTTGCCAGATCTCTTGCAGCAAAGCCATTCCTCCTCCACTTCCTCCACCTCCTCTTCCCCATCCTCCAGCCAGCCGACACCCACCATGTCCCCACAGACACCCCAGGACAAGCTCACTGCTCACGAGGTACGTCGCACCCCACAGCTGGCCGCTTTCGGAGGGCTCGAGCAGCGCCGCCTCCTAGCTAGTTTGCGCAGGGACTCCAGCCAACCTCCCCCTGCTTTATTTTTTTTTGGTTGTTTCTTTTTTTTTTTTTTTTCATTTCTCCTGTCACCTTTGTTCCCACCCCCAAAATAACACATTTCAGTTCTGTTTAAGAAGCCCCTAACTCTAGAGCAGCCTCCCCCCCACGCCGAACTTGCCAGTTTACTATTTTTGCTGCCTTTTAGTGAGTCATTAATTGCATGGCGTTTGTTTGAAACTAAACTTGACTACTGTAATTTCAAGCCAATTCTCTTTTTCTTTCCCTTTTTTTTTCCCCCCTCTAATTCTGTTTTATTCTGGGAGCAGCCTAATTTCAGGCAGCGTGGCGCCTAAAACTTAGCGGTTCCTTTTGGCTTTGTCACTAGAGGCTGGGCTAGCAGCTGTGCATCCGCGGGGAGCTGCTTGTAGCAACTCACCCTTGGGAGGAGGAAGCTGCCATGGAGGGAGCTGGGGGGGTTTGGAACTCGCCACACGGGATGGGGGGAATGTGTCAGGTGTTGCCCGGGAGGGGTCTCAAATCTGGGTGGTTGAAATTAAAACTAATAATAATAATAATAATTAGGGGGCGATCTGTGGTTTTTCAAGTGTGTTTGTGCTCTGAGAAGCGACTGTGTAACCACGTGAGGGTGACTGTGGGCTCTGGCCCGCACGGAGGAGCCAGGCCCGGCCGCCTCGGGGCTCTCTTGTTGCGCGGGGCGGCCGCGTGGCCTCGCTCTGCTYGTGGGGCTCTGCTCGTGGGGCCTCATGGTGCCTGTAGCCCCTTGCAGCAGAGGAGGTGCAGCCCTGTGAATGAAGGGCATCGTTTTTCCAGCCCCACATCCCGCAGCAAGCCAGGGACTTGGCGTGACCTGGCCGACGGGGTGGCCAGCGTGGGCTTGGGAAGAGCCGCTTCCTTCCACGTGAAGCAGGGGCAGTGCAGGGAGAGCAAACCCTGACCCAAGGGGCAGAGGAGGTGCCTGGCCATGCGGGCTGGCGTGTGGGGCAGAGCAGCACATTGGCTCCTGAGACCGCCKGACCGCAGGGGCTGCTCTCTGTGTTGGCTGGGGGGTGGTTTCCTCCTGGAAACCCTCTTAGCATAGGATTCAGTTCCCAGCTTTTGGCCTTTCCAAAGGCTTGCTCTGGTAGGTTGTATGGATGACAGATCCAGAGATGCTCGCACATTGCCTTGATCCAGGCAGCAGGATAAAAGGGCTCAGTTATTCCGGGGAGCTTGGGAAGTGGCTGCTGGAGCTAGTCATTATTAATCTGTACAGGGGAGTCATGTATTCTTAAGACCCATTGCTGGGTTTCTGCAGTAGAAGCTTAGAAAGGTGAGAGGTTGGAGATGAGTTGTTGATGATGACATGCATCTAACTATGTTTGCATAAAGCTGAGCTAAGACCCAGTTCTGCTTGGTGTAACTTCCCCACGTGCACACCCTTTACACGTATTTTTACTTGTCCCATTCTGCTTCAGTGTGTAATGTTGTCACTTTAATACTAAACTGGCAAGGGTTTTTAAGTCGCTCCATTTCCACTTTTAACAGTTCATTGTTTCACTTGTCTCCTTCCTTTCTTTATGTTTTTTCACGTTTGGACCACATAAGCAAGCACCAGTGATTTTATCCACTACATATTCATAGCTTCATGTCACCGTTTGCTCCACCTTCCACACTAATGAGCCCCTTTGTTTGATACAGGTTTAATATTTTGCTATGTCAAATAAAGGTGGAAGAACCTGCTGCAGCTTTCTGGCAAGAGGCTCAGGTTAAACAAAATAGGGAGAAAGAACAGTCCTGGACACTGAAACATAATCCAGTGTAGAAGTGAATATCTGATCCCAGATGTTTCAGGTTTTGTTGCACAAGCCAGAAGATCCAGTTTCGTAGCTTGCTACACCAGCTCATTTTAGGAGATGCTTCAGAAATCCAGCAGTTGAACGTAGTAGACAGCTTGTAGATAAGAAAGTAGACATCTGCATTTAGGCAGACTAAAAGAAAAAGAAAGCAAAAAAGGAAGAAGAGACATTCCCTCACTTTATGCCTGATCCTCGTGGCCAGTCTTAAAAGATGATCTCACAGCTGAGGCGACAGGGCTGAAAATTTAGCTAACTGCATTTTCACTGCAACATGCAGTTTGCATATGTTCAGGTATGGTGCCTGCAGTGCCTTAATTCTATGTCTCTAGAGGAAGCATAGAAGAGTGGGGAGGCTCTGTACCACGATTCTGTAGTGACTTTAAAATGTTGGTTGTTGTTATCCTTGCTTTTTATTGTCATTAATATTAATAAAGTTGAAATTTACATTGCAGACTCAGTCCGCTAGTAACACACTCCAGAAACACAAATCTTCCTCCTCCTTTACACCTTTTATAGACCCCAGATTACTACAGATTTCTCCATCTAGTGGGACAACTGTGACTTCTGTGGGTAAGTAAAGTAGCTGCAAGAAGGCAATTGAAAAAGGCTTCAGTGACTTTAGTGGCTCTTTAAAGTACTTACGAATTTAACCATCATGCTTTTTATTTGATTTGCAATGGATTGCATAGTTTTATTTCTTTTTCCATTTACATTTCTTACAAAAAGAGAGACTTGCGCAGTATTCTCAGTTACTGATGTGGGCTGCTTGGTGTCAGGAATAAGCGGTCAGAGCTGAGCCCTCAGGGGATGTTACATGCACTGCACTTTTCTTTCTTTTCAGTAGGATTTTCTAGCGAAGCAATGAGATCGGAGGCCATAAGGCAAGACCCCACGCGGAAAGGATCAGTTGTCAATGTGAATCCCACAAACACACGACCRCAGAGCGATACCCCAGAGATTCGCAAATACAAGAAGAGATTCAACTCGGAGATTCTGTGCGCTGCCTTATGGGGTAAGGAATTCCTCTGCCTCGCTTTCCTCCCGCAGTGCTGAGATGTAGCCTTGCCAGCAGGAGCATAAGGTCTTCGAGAACGAATCGCTGAAGCCTTAGCTCTTTCTGTGCGTTATTTACATGACTTCGTTGCAAGAGCTGATAAAATATGTTTTTTATATGTCATAAAAATATGTTGCTTCTGCTTTGCTACCTCTCCTTGCTGCTGTACGCATACTCCCAATGGCATAGTTCAGACTTGGTTCAGCCTGTTTGGTTGTGGCTGCTCTTTTAGCTTTCCTAGTCCCCTATTAGAAACCTTATTGCAGCTTTTGGGAACTTGTGGTCATCTTTGCATCATACACTTTGAGCCAGCGCCCATTCACAGAGGGATTTACTTTTAGCAGATGCCCCTGCTAATGAGTTGTTGCAGAGCTGGAGGAAGCTGGGTTTTGTTAGATACCTTTCCACCTCAGTCGTGAGTTTATGTAGGAAGGCCAAAGGAAAAGGATACCTGGGGTGTCTTTTCCAATGTGAAACTACAGCTTAGATTCCACAGTGCTGGCTAGTGTAGAGAAGTTGGATGTCAACTGACTTAAGTATGTCTGGCTTTCTGCACAAGGGCTAATTTATATCGGTGTCAGACAATGCAGACAGGTTCCTACACTGGTAAAAGGCTTAGGGCAATTCTTTTATTGCCTGTTATAACGTGGAATCAGTGCTGCAACACCCAGTTGAAAGCCTTGCTCTGCCATGTAATTTCTCTGTTGGCCAAAATCCATGAGGCCACCTGAATTTCCTCATTATCTAGATGCTAATAGATGACGCTTGTGTATATTAAATTTCTGTATATGCATGTATATTATATTTATATATATCCTAGTTCTAAAGTGAAAAGACTGTAAATGCACTTGTATATCATATGTATATCATTTTCAAAACTAAAAAGAGTTGGCCTTCCCTTAAACACAAATGATGAGTTGTAGCAGCAGAACAACACTTGCTTGTTTACATCTGTGTAACTCTTTGCAAGGTTTTACCTGTCTTTTCAGGTAAGGGTTACCCACATGCAATTTCTGCATGTATTCAGGTGAATGATTCTCTGATAAAACAGGGAGCTGTGTGCAAATGCAGCTTCCTGACTGCAGGAGAGCGAAGGCAGCGGGAAGTTGTATAGGATCAGTAAGGATGACTCATAGTCTTTCTATCTGCCTTGTTTTGCCAATAGCAATTTGTGTTAATGGCTTTATATTTCTTTGATCTACATATCTGACTGCTGTGGTGATTTACAGTGTACGTATAAAATCCTAGAGGTGTTTTACAGCTGTAACTATGCCCATTCTGCATGTGAATATTTTAGGGCCAAATTGATGGTGATGTAAGCTAGTGAACTTTATATTTTTTCTCTACAGCAAATTAAGCCATTTCGTGCTGATGTTTCTTACTAAAAAGAGGGTCTTGCTTTGCTTTGTTTTGTTTTACCTTTACTCGTGTTCATACTATCTGTTTAGGTTGCTGATTACATTAGTTCTGTGATACTGTTTCTATTAGTATTAAGTGGTGACAGTTAATGGCTTGGATGCATAACAGAGATTTTATGATCATTGATTTTTAAGCACAGTCCCCACAAAGAACCTGTTCCTTTCTTCTGGGCAGCATTTCCATTTGTTTGAAAAATCAGAACAGCTTAATTGTAGGGTGGAGGTAGAAGAAGTTGGCTGGCGGTGAGGAAAGACAATGCCCAAATTTTAAAGCACAGCTATTGCCTACCACCAGCATAGTACCTCATGAGCTTCATCTCACAGCACAGAATCACAGCGTGACTGAGGTTGGAAGGGACCCCTAGAGATCATCCAGTCCAGCCCCCTGCTCCAGCAGGGACACCCAGAGCACGGGGCACAGGGCGGCATCCAGGYGGGTTTGGAAGATCTTCAGAGAAGGAGACTCCACAGCCTCCCTGGGCAGCCTGTKCCAGGGCTCTGKCACCCTCCCAGGAAAGAAGTTCTTCCTCACATGCAGATGGAACTTCTCTTAAGGTGCAGATAGCTAAGGAAGGGTTGTGGACAGGTGAGAATAGAAGTTTTGAAGCAGCAACAATGGCAATGCAAGGTCAACAGAGAAAGTGAGGGTGGAGGAGGAAGCGCTTAAGCCCTGGCCTACAAAGAGGGGAGAAGATCATGCGGGGGCAGTTTGCATGTGGCTTTGTTTGAACTTCAAACCACACTTGAAAAAACACAAAATTTCGCCTCAAAGCTGAGTCGCTTGCAGCTTTAGTCTGGGAGATGCAGCAGTGCGACCAAGTACTCGGCTTGCTTGAGTCCCCCTGCACCCTGTGTGGGGCCCTGCCTTCCCCGTGCTCTTCTCCCTCCTGCCTCCTGCCAGCTTGAGATCGCTTCCCTGGGAGAGACGGGAGCTGGGCAGCATGCAGTCCAAGCCTGGGGTGGAAGCAGAGCGGGTGGTTTCCAGGTCCCACTGAAGTTTCCCTGCTGAGAGGGCACGTGAAGGAGAATAGAGCCAGCTTTGCACTTGTGGTGGGCAGGGTGGCATTGGGGTGAGCTCCTCATACCTCAGGGCTGATTGCTCCTTGTGAACCATGTGCCTTTTGGGGATTGTGCCAGAGCAGGGAGGTTCTGTTCGTGTCTTGTCACTGCTAGGGATCCAGAGTGTGTGCGCTGAGGTGCAGACTCCCATGTGCTGGGACAGCTCTGCTTTGTGATCAGTCTGCATGATATTCCTGCGTGGCTCCAGAATAGTTATATCTTGGGAATAATTGTCTGACTAGGGATTAAGGCCATTTAGCAATGTAATTATGATAATCTTTTGTGTAAATTTCCCTCTTATTATTTCATTATTTCATTATGTTTAAGGATAACAAGTTTAACAYCCAGTTTGCAACGTAGATGTCTAATAAAGTGAGCCTTGTATTGGGTTTGATTTCCATTCCTTGTACTGTGTTTGACCTGTCTCTGAACAGTTYGTGGAATCCTAGACTGAAACACTGTAATTAGTGCAAATGGTTATGAAATGTTATAGTGATAATATATTAATATAATAATAATTTTAAAAAACCTGTTCCTACAGGATTTTTTTTTGTTGTTTATTGCAGAAATGTAATTGGTTTTATATTCTGAGGTGTTTTGTGCTCTTAAAGAATATTCCAATGGAAATGTGGACCTTTGTATAAAGAAACTGGCCTACTGACCTTTCTCATCTATGTTTGCATGATCCTTAGAAGAATACTTGTGAATACTTGGAAACAGCAGATTAAAATCATTGCTATAATTTTACAATTTAAGTGGAAAAGATGTTATAACAAGGGTTTTGCTATTTCAGGTTGTTGGGAACTTGAAAGCCAATCCTTTGCTCATCCATTTACAGGAGAAGACTGCAGTCCTCTCATCCTGTTGGTCCTTTCAAGCCTCTGCCACTGCTTTTCACAATGTTCTTGTCTTACATCCCATTTGCCAGGCCAGTAGCAGCTTGCAGGCCAACCCTTCAGGATGTATAAGCTAGGGACCACTTCATGGCTAACAGCTCCTCCAGTGTTGATGTGCCTATCTGCTTGGAAGCTGTTGCTCTAGAAAACTCCCCGTGCTTTACTAGTCTTTTGCTGTCTTGTATAGCACAATAGTGTGTTGGGTTTCGGTAGCTGCATTAGCCAAGAGAGCCTCTGTATCATGAGGTCTTCTGCTTGGCAGCCAGGCAGGACCAGCGGTGGCTGGACATGCTTGAACCATGAACAGTTGCTCTGTGAAGCCTTCCTTCATCAATGCATCTGTCCAATTGGCCTGCTAACCCTGCTCTCTGCTTTTGTTTTTTCTTCTAGGAGTGAACTTGTTAGTGGGCACTGAAAGTGGACTGATGCTGCTAGACAGAAGTGGTCAGGGGAAGGTTTATCCACTCATCAATCGAAGACGATTCCAGCAAATGGATGTACTTGAAGGACTGAATGTCTTGGTGACAATTTCCGGTAAATTTAACTGTTTGGTGTCATTTTTTCCCCTCTCTGGCATGGCATGGCAAGAATCTTCTCCCATCAGTATATATGTTGAGGGGAAAGTCCTAAAACTGAGGTTGGCGGGTTTTCCATCTTTCAATCTCTCCGAGTTTTCAGTTGGTTTCTACAAATGAGTCATTTTCCAYAGGGCGCCTTGTGCCTGTCCCTCGTCCTTCCTCCCATGGGTGGMTGCTCAGAAAGCTGCCCGGTCTTGGAGGCCACGTCCATCTCTGTCCTGTGTTAGGGAGCTGCAAACTAAGGGTCTGTGAAGCATGAGTAGCTACGTGGGCTTCTAAAGCCACCCCGTGTGTTTATATTGGTAGAAGGGAAATGTTCTTGCAAAGCAGGGAAGTAAGAATGGCGTGGAGGAGGTGACAGGGAAAGGAGCGCGTGTGGGGAGGAGGTGGTGAACGTGGGAGGTCAGATGGGTGCCGTGCCTGCCTTGCTCTCCCTGGATGCAGCAGGAGACGAAGGCTGGTGGCGGCCACAGCTGCTCTGTGTGTGCCAATGAAAAATGTGTCTTAGGAAGCTTGAGGTCCCAGGCTCTTGGGCTCCGGAGAGTTCCTGCATAGGGATATTCTGCTGTGAAGCAGCTTCGGGGCGCTGCTTCATGGTTCCTCGCGGCTCCTGCAGCGCAGCCCTCGGCCTTGGGCTTGTTTTGGGCACCCGGGGATGGAGTCTCCGCTAGGCCCCGTGTGAGAGGGATGACGAGGAYGATGAGGACAATGCCGACGACACCGCGTGGGGCTTCAGCGTGGGGCCGGGCGGCCCCTCGCTCCCTCAGCGCGGCTGGGCGCTGCGTCATGGGCCCTTGTCATAGGCCCGAGGTCGGCTCAACGGCTCCCCCCGAGGGCGAGGGCAGCTCAATGGCCACCCCGAAGGGCTGCTCAATGGCTCCCCCCGGGGGCGAGGGCGGCTCAACGGCCACCCCCAAGGGCGGCTCAACGGCTCCCCCCGAGGGCAAGGGCGGCTCAACGGCCCCCCCAAGGGCGGCTCAACGGCTCCCCCCGGGGGCGAGGGCAGCTCAACGGCCACCCCCAAGGGCGGCTCAACGGCTCCCCCCGGGGGCGAGGGGAGCTCAATGGCCACCCCCAAGGGCGGCTCAACGGCTCCCCCCGGGGGCGAGGGCAGCTCAACGGCCCCCCCAAGGGCGGCTCAACGGCTCCCCCCGGGGGCGAGGGCA